GTATTTCCGAAGCGATACGACATCATAACCTTCAAGAAAAGAGCATATTCCTTTTTAAAAGGCCGGCAACACACCTGCAATGCCTTTGGTGTTGTAGGTAATCATGGGCGGCGGTAGTCATTTACCCTCAGGTGAGCCGCGTGCTCGTTTGCCCCTTGTGTTGTAAAAAACAACATTCCTTATTGTAATGATGACAGAAAATGGATAATAAAACAACATCCCGCCTCAAACTCAGGGAATCCAAACCGTCCGTTAGCGAGGAATCAATAATCACTCGAACCGCTCGATGCTGTGTGGAGTCAAGGAGTTATCTGCTTAATTTGGAACTAGATGGCGGTGTATGCATAAAACTTTTTTTTATATTTATTTATTTTATAAACTCACGGCCACTAGGAGCGTAAATCGAATAGTTAATATACTTCAGTTTTAATATAAAAACTAGAATATTTGAATTTAGTGTAGATTTTTTCTTGTTTTCATACAAATTGCCAGCATTTTGTATAAATTTGCATGGCTGCATTACAACCATGGGGAAATTTATGATTAATGTTGACAGCTGTTCATTTGTGTTTGCAATTTACAATAATTTTTAATCAAATATCGACGAATAACCAATGTTTTCTTATTATTGTCCAGAAAGCTTAGTCAGTTATTATATATATATATATATATATATATATATATATATATATATATATATATATATATATATATATATATATATATATATATATACAACGAAATACTTCTTCATTTCAATGTGTTTTTTCCTTGGTTTTTGCTAGCGGAGTGTTCAAGTCCGCCAGCCCTGGAGGTCGTAGGGCTGCCAACTGTGTCACAGCACGCGCTGAATATCTTGATTTCTACGAGAAAATTGCTGTTCAAGGTTTCACAGCGTAAAGATGCAATGCGATGTAGTAATGCGGTTGACTTATTTAATTTATACAACTGTACAAGTTGCCTATCGCAGTTTTACCAAAACTCGGCTTATGATTTGTATGCATGGATAATTGGGATTAATGCAAGATATTCGTAAAAATATAAGAGATTTTCTTCTCCACAAAATGCAGACACACGCACGCACGCACGCACGCACGCACGCACGCACGCACGCACGCACCAATGTACACATACAAAATACAAGCGAATTTTTTAAAATAAGTGTTACAATCACCCTAATTACCTCTAGCTAGAGTATCCTGTGTTTTGAGACACCTGGTAACTAAAGTTTGGGGGCATAATAAAAATATTATTATTCGAGCCGACTCAGAACTTCTTTTCTCTATTCGGTGTATTTTTTACGTTTGTTAATATCTTAACTACGTCAGTTTCAAACCGATTAAACCGATAAAACGATATTACAAAATACCCGAGCAAATTTAAAACTTCGTTTCCTGCATTGGCCCGATCGGGAATCGAACCCGAGATCATTTACGCTTCGCAACGAGCTCCCTACTGCGCCACAGAGGTCGTCAATTGAAAACCTTCTCTTGAAAGTTGATAACTTTTAAGCTACCGTAAAAAAGACAAAAAAAATATAGACATGGTAAGACTATATATATATATATATATATATATATATATATATATATATATATATATATATATATATATATATATATATATATATATTAATGAATTATAATAAATAATTAAGGGGGAAAAGGGATTGCTAATGATAGGGATAAGGAATTGATAATGGGTCCAAATAACCCCATTACTAGCAATATACCCTGTCAGGTCGACCTCCACATGGTTCCCCCTGGAAACCACCGTGAACAATTTTTGTTGAATTCGTCACGATGGGCTAACTGACCTACTACATCCTCACCTATCATCCCCCACTGGTGCCCCGTCAGTGTATACCGATAGCGCAGGCGGGGTTACAATTCCATTATCATCAGGATCAGGATAATGTCATTGGTAACAGTTAGTTCACGAGTTTATTTATTAAGTCTTGTATATACACCTGTGCCAAGCAGTGAAACAACAACGGTACTTTAATCTAAACAACGCATCTTACTGATTTACATACACGAGTACACAGGATCTAAAATTTATTGTACTGGACGTTTCAGCTTCAATTGTCAGATTGGTAAATTCTACGCGTTCAGAATTCATTCACAGTGATTCATTTATACGACCAACTCTTTCTTTAATTCCGACTTCGCGCGGTACTTTTTCAAAATAAAATGCAGTCCATGTTACTTGCTAAAAATGTTGGTTTCTATTGGTGAAGGAATGTTTAAAAACAAATATTTAAAAAAAATAACCAGAGGGAGACTTTGTACAAAAGTCGTTTGCTTGGGTACCTCTGTCCTATTCGTGTTTGTACCGTGAAGCAGTTGTGTGTGCATGGCTGTGTTTCGGTTTGAAGGGTGGGATATGGCTGTGACATTACAGGGTATAGAGGAATAACACCTGAGTCCTCAGGAATGGCAACGCATGGGGAGTATCACGGGCGAAACAGTATACTCTGTTCTGTTCACGGTACTGCTCATATCTATAGGCGACCGTTACCACTTTCCATCAGGCGCGCCGTCAGCTTGTTTGCCATTTTTATTCTTTTATTTTGTCCAATATAAAAAAAGTCTTAGCTCTAGCTTTCCCACCCTTGAGATTTAAGCCTCAATCAACTAACTAAATGATAGACCTTTGGATTTAAAATCATAAATTCATTTGTAAAATTTTGTCCTTTTGGGTGCAAAATAATGTCATTCCACTTTAAGTGCCATCAAGCTATTACAACATGGAACTGGTTCATCACGATAAGAAAAATCACGGTCTGAAACTGATTTACATAAAAATGTCATGCGCATAATAATAAGAACTCATTTGATGATCCGGTGGTTCCAGTAAGTCTAACAGTTTTGTCGCGGTATCAAGGAGTGAAGTTAATATACTATAATGAGGGGAAGGGATTGTTAGTAATGGAGACTGAGAATCCCATTGCTAGCAATATACCCAACCAAGTTGATCTCCTCGCGGTTCTCCCTGGAAACTATCATGGTTAATTCCTGATGAATTCATCATGATGGGCTAACTGGCCTGTTTTCATTCTCATCTGTCACCCTTCACTGGCGCTCCGACAGCGTATCCCGTTAGCGCAGGCGGGGTTACCATATCATTTTCAACAATAAAAAAAAAGTCCCATTGCTAACAACATACCCTGTCAGATCGATCTCTACGCAGTTCCCCCTGGAGACCATCATGCTAAATACCAGATGTATTCATCACGATGGACTAACTGACCTGCTTTTTCATCCTCACCTATCATCCCTCACTAGTAACCCCGCCAGCGTATACTGTTAGCGCAGACGGGGTTACCATTCCATTACCTTCCATTAAAAAAAATATACTATAATATATAACATAACGTGTGTATAGTATAATCCTCGTGTGGTCCCGGCATAGAACGGACCACCTCTTCCTTTCCCGTGGGTGTCGTAAGACTAAGGGAGGGAGAGGAATGGGCAGCAACATCCTTCTTAAAACATCTCTAAAAGCCTAATTGCAATTGCCAATCCGTTTGCCAAGCGTGACAACTGCTGGCAAAACTCCCCTTGTAGGAAAGGCTTATGTCCAGCAATGGACAGTTAACGGCTTTAATAATAATAATAAATATAATACAGATCAAGAACACAATCCATTGTCATTTCTTTCACTTCATCATCATCATCATCATCTCAGCCTTTGTTCGTCCACTGGTGAACAAGGGCCTCCTCCATAGACTGCCATAAGGAAAGGTCCTGAGCCAGCTTTATTTTACTTGCATTTTTAAAAACACAGGATTATATTTTTTAAAGGATTTACATGATCATATTTTTTTTTTAGAATGATAATGGAATGGTAACCCCGCCTGCGCTATCGGTATACACTGGCGGGGCACCAGTGAGTGATGATAGGTGAGAATGAAGCAGGTCAATTAGCCCATCGTGATGAATTCACTTGAAATTCAGCACGATGGTTTCCAGGGGGGACCACGTGGAGGTTGACCTTTTTGGGCATATTGCTAACAATGAGGCTGGTAGTGCGCATTATTAACGACCCCCCCCCCCCCACATGATCATATTGTACGAGTTGATGTGAACCAACCCACAAATAATATCGCAAATTTCGTGATTACAGCCTCCTATTACGAATTAAATAAAAAAAATATTTATGCAGGTTGAAATAAACGTAATTCTACTAATCAAATTGTATATTTTCCAAAGAAAACCACAATAATATTAAGTTTAAGTAACTCAATTTTAAAAATCGAACGAAGGAAAGACCATGTTAGATTCCAAAGATTTTTTTTTTCTTCTTTTTTTAAAACGTCTCAATTCTAAAATGGCATATAAAATATTTTAAAAATTCTACAAACAAATCAAATGGCGCATTCAAAAATATTTCGTGTGTGGAGGTTGATAGAGTTGGTTACATGTATTTTAAACATTTGTTACTGATTTTTTTTTTTATTTGAAATATAGACTTCAGATACCAAGTTTGTAACTTGTTGTAAATGAAACTTAAAGTAGACAACTTGACTCTTAACTTTCTTATATTATATCAAAAATATAAATTCCTATAAAAACTATAAAGTTTCATCAAAAAGTCACAACACAAATGACCTATTTTTGGTACATATCTGATTTTTAACTAACTGATGCTATCTACCTATTTACACCTTCTGTAGAGTAGGTACTTAATTGGAAACAAATTCAATCTAGACTCAACTGAGGTTTAAGTTTTTTTTAACAATATTTTAACGTATAATTAATTATTGTTTCCCAATATAAGAGCTCTTTAAAATAATGCTCATTAAAATTTAGCGGTTACTGCGGAAGGAAATTATAGACAAAAATAATCCGTATACAATAACTTCAGCGAAATAATTTGGAAAAGTTTATTTTTAAGAGTAAAAATGTTCACCCCTTACTCCTGAAAAATAATGACGACATCCCTTAAGTATAATTTTGTTATAGAGTGAAAGGTTTAGCCCCGTTCTTTGTATAAAAGCGGCCTACGCCCGCGACGCGCCTCCGACTTGACGACATGGCGGCACTAGCGCGATTGGTACGTTCAAATCTGTTCTAAATTTAAAAAATAACAAATTAGGGAATAAGTTCACATGATGTCGGAATTAAAAAGAAAATATAAGTAGATCATAGACGATAACATTTTATTTTTTTATTTCAACAATCAAGCAAAGGTATTCTGTTATTATGCCATTATTTTAACGGTAACTTGCATCAGATTCGATAATTTATTTTTTTTATATGCACCGTATAGAGAGTGAAAGTGAAAAATAAAATGTAAAATACTTTGTTAATAACTACATTATAATTAGATTGTTATAATTGGCTTGCGTGTGATAAGTTGATAACTATGTGTGACGTCACGGTGGTTAACTGGTTTCTTTGTTGGTTGACTTCGATATAGTGCAGTGCTGTGTTGTTTCGTGAAATTATAGTGCGCTGGTGTTGATGTAGAGATAATAGCAATTATATACAGTAAATTCCATTCGAATATATAAAACTTATATATATATATATATATATATATATATATATATATATATATATATATATATATATATATATATATATATATATATATATATATATATATATATATATATATATATAATTTGAACACCTGCTTTATTAAACAGATATTACCACAGAATATAAAAACAGTACTTTTGGTATTGTAGTTTAGGATTTTATTGAAGATATTTTTTTATTATTATACCTGTCAATAACTGTCCACTATTAATAGGCCTTCCCCATAAACGAAATTTGGTCAGTAGTTGCCACGTTTGGCGTTGGTGATATTTTAAGAGGGCACTCTGCTACACATCTCTCGATCATTAAGTTTCCTTAGTCGCCTCTTACGACTCCCACGGGAATGAAAAGAGTAGCCCATTCTATGCCAGGACCGCGAGGCGGATTTCGTGCTGTTTTAAAATACAGGACATGTTTATTTGTATTTGTTAATGTAAGGCCATATTCGTAGTTAATTTAATTAGGCATTTAATTGATAGTACAGTTTTTTTGTTGATAAAAAAAAAAAAAATCAGTAAGAAGTAACAGAGCGTAAACAACATTTGTCAGGACAACAAGGGCATTAAGTACTACTTCAGACACCAGTTCTTCACAATACATTAACTTATGTAACCTCCAAAAATAAATGTATGAGAAATTTAAATAAATTATATATCTATCTATATATCATTAAAATTTGCAAGTATGTTTGTATTTCGGATACAATACAAGTTTTGTTTAACCGTAGTGTTGGATGTGCTTTTATAATCCGGGTCCATCCTTTATTGGGTACAGGCCTCTTCGTAAATTCCCTATTTGGCGTTCTCTTTTTGCCACGTGCATTCATATCTTTATAATTGGTGTGGTGATATTTTTTTATACCACTGAAGTGACAAATAAGCATACGACCCACCTGATAAACGGTTACCGTACCCTATGACGCTTACAATGCCAGAGGCATTGTGCCCGCGTCGCCGATCCCGAAGAAACTTTTTTATTCCTTTTTTTGAAGAACCCCACGCTGTAGTCTCTTAGAAAAAGCTCCACAGGGACTTCATTCCATACCTTGAGCGTTCGTTCTCATATTCTCCGCTCAGAACATGGTTTGTCTTTCGACGTTTTCTGACCAAGTCTTGGTCAAATCTTTTATCTATGGACATAGCTGTATCAACCTTAAAAATGTCGGGGGGAAAGGGATTTTTAGTAATGGAGACTGAGAATCCGATTGCTAGCAATATACCCAACCAGGTCTACCTCCTCGCGGTTCCCTCTGGAAACTATCATGGTTAATTCCCGATGAATTCATCATGATGGGCTAACTGGCCTGTTTTCATTCTCATCTATCACTCTTCACTGGTGCTCCGCCAGCGTATCCCGCTAGCGGTAGGCGGGGTTACCATACCATTTTCACCCATAAAAAAAAAACCCTAAAAATGTCTATAACTTTACATTACTATTATAAGTTTCAATAGAACATAAAGAGAATTTAAACAAATGAATAATTGTTCGACCATAAGATAGTATTTTATTGCATTTCGACAAAAGACACAGCGTTTAGTTTAACAACTTGTTAGCAAGGGTGGGCTTATCTCTGAAAGAGATCTCTTCCAGCCAACCCAGTGTAGTTAGAGAGAAAATAATTAGCGAGTCATTTTTAATAGTAGAATAAGTAAAATATAGATTAATCGATCGATTATTACGATTTATTATTGATTTTATTAAGAGAGTGTTTCTTTTGTGCTCTCAACAATATGCATACAAGGTTATTGATAGCTTTTAATTAAGTTTCATTGAAATATAGGTAGTTTTCATATTGGTATTGTTCAGAGCGTAATGCATGCTCCTACAGCCAAAAATACTTTGTGCTTAAATGAATTAGTAAATGGAATTAATTAGTTATAGTAGTAGATAACCTATTTAGTTAAAAGGACAGAGGGGAGAGGGATTGTTAGTAATGAGGAAGTTAGTCCCTCATTACTATCAATATATCAGGTCGACCTCCACGCGGTTCCCTCTTGAAACTATCATTACTAATTTATCGTTGAATTCGTCACGATGTGCTAACTGATCTACCTTTTCATCCTCACCAATCATCTCTCACTGGTGCCCTGCCAGTGTATACCAATAACGCAGGCAGGACTAGATAGATTAAAAAGAAATCAAAGTTGGCAATCAAAAATATTCTCTGAATTCACCACGTTCTAGAGTCACAAATTATAGGCATCAGTTCGTGTCGAGATACTCTATCTAAGGTGCATGATCTAAGCTACTGAGTAGTTCCATAAAAACTAGGTATGTTTATTTATGCTATTTAATATTACCCGGTCAGCAACATTGATATCAAGCCAACCGGTCCAGTAGTGAATGGCTAGGCTATCCGAACAGTGGCCTTCCTTTGGATTTCTGATTGTCACTCCCTTTGTATTGGCTCTGTTTCCGCCCACTTTAACATATATACATACATTTATATGTATATATTACACTTGTATAAAAAAAATACTCACTAACTGTTATACATATACATAGCCAAAGACTATGATTTTGTTTTTTTTTTAAAACACGATGCATATTCATGAATTTATAAAAGACAAAAATCAAGATTCCGTAATAAAAATTGCCTTTAAAACTATAATTAATTTACATAAGATTTAATTTTAAATCCCATAATTCGATTTTGTTAAGCCATAGATTATGTTATCCAATGTTATTGAATCCATTTGAATCCATGCCTTATAAAAAAAAATAAAAAAATTATCTTGAAGGTTTCCCGCCAAAAGTTCTTATTAAAAAGAAAGTCAGTTAAGACAAAGGAAATATTACTTATTACCTATATAGAATATGGTTTATGCTAAATCCTATTTAAATCTATTCAACAGTACAAATGCACAAAATTCCTAATATCTATATAAATTGTGATCTCTGCTATGACGACAGATTTTTCCAAATTAAGAAAAAACAAAGAGATAATATATAGTTGCATCAATTTATCCACAATGGGAGAGGCAAAGGAACTAAGTTATACAGCCTGATCTTTGTAAAAAAAAAAATAGATACACCTACTTAATCTATGTATTTTATATATGTTTATGATATGTCATACTTTACACAATATTGGATAATAATATCATTGTACCTACTTGTGGGGGTGTAGCGGTGTAATGCAATTATTTCCGCGTTCGATTCTCACGGCTAGTTTGATATCGGTGTCGAAGTACATTCATAATTGTACAATAAATTATATAGGTGGCTTAATTTTATTATATGAATCAAATTATTTTAACTTATGGTTATGGTAGAGTTTATGGAAATTTCTGCAGAGTTATAGGTACGTAAATTTCTGGTGGGACGTGTGTTCCCGACATAGAATGGGCCAACCCCTTTTTTCCCATGGGTGTCGTAAAAGGACACTAAGGGAACTTAATAGACGAGGGATGAACAGCAGCGTCGTTCTTAAAACACCACCAAAGTCTAACGGCAGTTGCCAATCCGCTTGCTAAGTTTGGCAACTACTGGCAAAACTCCCCTTATGCAAAAAGCCGGTGTTCAATCGTTTTTTTTTTATAGGTGATAATGAAATAGTAACTCCACCCGCGCTATCGGTATACGCTGATAGGGCACCAGTGAAGGATGATAGGTGAGGATGAAACAGGTCAGTTAGCCCATTATGACGAATTCAACGAGAATTGTTCACGATGGTTTCCAGGGGGAACCACGCGGAGGTTGACCTGATATTGCTAGCAACGGGGCTGTCAAACTCCATTGCTAACAATCCCTTCCCCCCGGTGTTCAATAGTAAATATATGTATATTTAACAAAAATAAAAAAAAAATAACATAATTTTTAAAAATTTTAATTAATTCATTTATAATAATTTGTTATATTCAAAGTAGTTGTAAATACAAATGCAAATTATTGCTAAATTATATTTATTAAACTTTTACTTACTAACTGTTAGCGTAAATACTCGTTATGGGGTGCTCAAGCAAATTGCTGCAGCAACGAGACATATAAAGAAATACTTTGACACGTAAAGTCGTCAATGCGTAAATTTTCGTCATTCCACTCGTTGTGCAAGTTAGAAGCTTATAGCGATAATGAAATAATGAAACACGGTTATTTCATTAAATGATATTCTTCATCCAAAGGTTGCCTGGAAGAGATCGCTCTTAGCGATAAGGTCGCCCATTGTTTTCTCATTGTGATTATTTCTTGTAATTATTTATATTTATAATAAGTTTACTATTGTAATCTTTTGGAGGAGATAATAAAGAGTATCTATCTATCTATCTAGAATTAAATATGAAACAATATAACATCAATTTTATAATTTTAAAGTAATAACTACCGATTTAATTTATTTGTAATTAGATCGAAAAAGCTCGACTAGTTTCGTAATCAATTCGTGATCCTTAATCATGAGCGACTGTGACGCGAGCACAAGCCCGACTGCGTAGCTTGGCCCGCTGAGCGCGGTTTTTCGATCAAATTACACGTAAATTGAACGGGTAGTTATTATTTTATGAAAAATAA